TGTTTCTTTCCTTTTTTTTTTTTTTTTTTTTTTTGAGACAGGGTTTCTCTGTGTAGCTTTGAAGCCTGTCCAGGAACTCTCTCTATAGATCAGGCTGGCCTCGAACTCTCAGAGACCCTCCTGCCTCTGCCTCCTGGGTGCTAGGATTAAAGGTGTGCGCCACTACCGCCTGGTTGTTTAAAAGGCTTTTAAACACTGTCAAGAAGATGACTGTCCTCTTCATCCGGTCTCGGATGCTGCTGTATAGTCTTTTTCAATTTGTCTTTAGATCCTAGTTTATTCAAATAAGAAAGTTTAGGAAAAGAAAGATGACACAAGGCCCCTACCTTTGCCTCCCAGGACATGGCAGGAAGATGGAGAGCTTGAAGCTAGCCTGGGCTAGTGAGATTCTGTCTCACACAAAACAAAACAACAAGAAAGAGCCTTCATGTTGGGCAGTAGTGCATGCCTTTTGGATCTCTGAGTTTGAGACCAGCCTGGTTTAGAGAATGAGTTCTAGGACAGTTAGAGCTACACAGGGAAACCCTGTATCAAACAAACAAACAAAGGAGCTTTCAGGCAGAAGCCATAAAATAAGAAAGCTTAGGAATGTATCCCAAGCACCTTGTGGTTTACATAAAATACAAACTAAGTCCTACAAGATCCGAGGAATTCTCGCGTAGCTTCCCTGAGACGTGCACATAACCCCCAGCCTCCCTTCAGTCAGGGTGGGTATGAGATGGGGGCTACAGGGCATGAATGGCCAAAAGTCAGAATGAAGCGAAGGTTGGACTGCCATCAGAAAGGTAATATTTGGTGGGCATGTAGTTGAGTTGGTGGAGTGCTTTTGAATGATAAGACCCTGGTGTTCACCATCTGCATTATCCCCTCCTCCTCCCAACCCTGCCCAGAAGTACTATTGGCCCATCCAGGCAGCCATGTCCTGCTTTCATTTCCCTCTCCATCCCACAATTCTTGGATGTTCTTCTATCATCTTGATTTCAGCTTAGAAGTACAAGTGTCGCCTGGGTTGACAGGTTCAGCTGGCTAGAGGTCCTTTTGTGTCAGCAGAGGGAATTGCTTTTCTGTAATGCTTGAAGCCATACAGAGAAACATTGTTTCAGATCACACTGATTCAGCTCTGTGCTGGCCATAACTGGTTTCTGTTCTCGGCATCCCTTCTTCTCAGCAGATCAAGGTGAAGATATGAAGCTTGAAGTCCCCAACATCTGTCACGAACATAAATGGGAAGAAGAGAGTCTCCAGACAACAGATACTGCGCCCCCGTCTCCGGGAGAGCCGTCTGAACCGCATGGTCCTCCCGCTCTGCTCCAACAGATACCTCAGGGAGAGGTAAAGGAGCAACTTTACTGAGAGGTCTCTGGTAGGGAGAAGCTAAAGGGGCCAGACAGTGCTGAGGAGGCTCACAGTAAGAAGAGTTTTGTGAGCCCCACCCAGCACCCCCATGCCTTACCGCTCAGAGGTAGACTTCTTATTTGTTATTGAAATTTCAAAAAAGAGTTATTTATTTTATTTAATATGTGAGTGTTGTGTTTGCATGTATGCCTGTGCACCATGTGTATACCGGTGCCCATGGTAGTTGGCAGAAGGCATTAGATCCCTGGAACTGGAGTTATGGATGGTTGTGAATTACCATGTAGGTACTGGGAAACAAACCTTAGCCCGCGGCAGGGGCAGTAAGTGCTCTTACTCATTGAGCCTACTTTCTAGTCCTTTTGTTTCATTTTTTAAAATAATTTATTTAATTTTTTTTTTGTGCATTGGTGTATTGGTGTGAAGGTATCGGATCCACTGGAACTGGAGTTACAGACAGTTGTGAGCTGCCATGTGTGCTGGGAATTGAATCTGGGTTCTTTGGAAGAGCAGCCAGTGCTCTTAACCACTGAGCCATCTCTCCAGCCCCCGAAAATTTTTTTTTTCTTTTTGGATTTTTGAGACAGGGATTCTCTGGAGTTTTTGGTGCCTGTCCTGGAACTAGTTCTTATAGACCAGGCTTGCCTCGAACTCTTGGAGATCCTCCTGCCTCTGCCTCCACCTTTTGTTTCATTTTTAAAGATTTCTTTATTTTTACTTTATGCATATGAGTGCTTTATTTTCATGTATGTATGTGCGCTACATGTGTGCAGTGCCTATGGAGGTCAGAAGAATTCACTGAATCCTTTGAGTTACAGACGGTGAGCTGCCATGTGGGTTCTGGGAGTTTTGAACCTGGGTCCTTTGCAAAAGAAGGCAGTGCTCTTACCCATTGAACCCTGTCTCCTGTCTCTAGACTCGAACTTGAAATGATCGGCTGAAGCTGCCATTTGATTTTATTCATTATCGTTTTGTGTATGTGTATGACAAGTGTGTGGGCACATGTGCCGTGGTGCACTTGTGGAGTTCGGGGTAGGGGGAGGGACAACTCTGGACTGGCACAGCGAGCACTTTGTCCCTGCAGTCATCTCTCCAGTCTCCATAGCCATCTGAGCACCGTGTCACCCACGCACTGACACACTGAAATGCAGCAAACCTCGTCCTTTCTGAAGGAAACGGACTGCTGGCCTGTTACAGCTCTCCATAGCTGCTTTAGAGAGAAGGTGACTACCGCACCCGTCCTATTTATTCTCGCTTTCCCCTCTGTTTTCACTCTGTAGTCCAGTGAACCGAAAGCTCAAGAAGAAAACAACCTGTCCCAGATGCTAAGCGAGTTGCAAGTGTCGCATGCAGAGACCACACTGGAACTAGAAAAGACCAGGGACATGCTCTTCCTGCAGCGCAAAATCAACGTGTGTTATCAGGTGCGAGGAAAGACAGCCCAGGAAAGGGACAGGGAGCTGGCATATGAGAAGGCCCAGGTTTCTAGGGCTGGTGGTTAGTGATGCCCAGCCTGTGGAAGAACTTGGGGACCCATATGCCCACGCACCTTGGCCCAGAAGTCAGCTAAGGGGCAGCTCATGAAAGGCAAGTGCTGGACTTCTAGGTTCCTCTCTCCCCAAAGACCTTAGGGAGCTGCCAGTGCAGCCGGGCGTGAAGGTTCCCGGGAAACCTTAGCTTTCTTCCTGGTCATACTCTCCTGCCGAGGAGGCCCAGTTTTAAAGTCTGTGCCACTGAGGGGAAAGTTCACCATCCCTTTTCTTCCAGGAGGAGCTAGAGGCGATGATGACAAAGGCTGATAATGAAAATCGGGACCACAAGGAGAAGCTGGAGAGACTGAACCACCTCCTAGACCTCAAGAACTGCCGCATAAAGCAGCTGGAAGGTATCTTAAGAAGCCATGGCCTTCCAGCATCTGGCAAGTCTAAGTCCTTTGTTTTCGTCTTGGGTAATGTCACATGACTGACAGTGATCCTCCTGACTCTCTCTCCTGCTCTCTTCCTCTCTTCTCTGTGGGGTTTGTTTGTTTGCTTTATTTTTTGAGACTGTATTTCTCTGTGTTTAACCTTGGGTGTCCTGGAACTCACATAGATTCCCCTGCCTGCCTCTGTCTCCCAAGTGCTGGTATTAAAGGCATGCATCACCACTGCCCAGCTCACCTCTGTGGTTTTTGATGCACGGCTTGTAATTTCCTTTCTCTGATTTTTTTTTATTTTTTAAGTTTTAAATATTTATTATATGCAGTGTTCTGTCTGCATGCATGCCTGTATACCAGCAGAGGGCACCAGATCGCATTACAGATGGTTTTGAGCCACCCTGTGGTTGCTGGGAATTGAATTCGGGATCTCTGGAAGAGCAGCCAGTGCTCTTAACCTCTGAGTCATCTCTCCAGTCCTGAGTATCTGATTTTTCTGGAGAATTTCAACAGGACCAGTGGTGCTTCCAGGTTACCCTAAGTGACTCTCTGGTCTCTTTTCCTGTCAGTCATTTCTCCAACACAAGCCTCTCAGCCTCCAAGGCAATTACTGTCAGGTAATAGATCTTTGTCATTCATTTTCTGTCATTCTTTCCTGCGATTTTTCTCTAAAATCTCTGTTGCAATACAAGGATGTTAGCAGAGGCAGGGGAGCGGTCTTCTTATGTCAGTTCGGGAACAGGCTCTGGTTTCTACCTTGAGTGTCCAGAAGCAGGCTTCGTTATTATGCTGTGTCTGGAGAGATGACTTAACCCTCACCAGACTCACCACAGTCTGACATTTAAAGCAGAACACAAGTCACTATCCTCAACATAGGAGGAGCCACTGTGGAGTGGATTTTCTTTTCTGGCAAGAAAGTCAGTCATAAGCTGGTTTCTCATGAGCACAGCACTAGAGGTTAGTTTGGTAAGGCTGCTGCCAAATAAAAAAGGCAGTCCTCTGCTGGGTGGTAGTTGTGCACTTGGGAGCCAGAGGCAGGTGGATCTCTGTGAGTTCAAGACCAGCCTGGTTTACAGAGCTAATTCCAGGACAGCCAGGGCTACAGAGAGAGAAAAAAAAAAAAGGCGATCCTTGCTTGAATTGAGTCCTCCTGGGCAAACACCCTTACCTATGACTGAAGGTCATCTGCTTTCATTTACTGTGCTTTGACCTCTGCCGAGGCAGAATAGTTTTTCCATGTATACCACTTAGTTGTGTTATTTCTTTTTTCTTTTGGTTTCTCAAGACAGGGTTTTCTGACTATCCTGGAACTCACTCTGTAAACCAGAATGGCCTCCAACTCATAGAGATCCACCTGCCTCTGCCTGACAAATTCTTGGATTAAAGGTATGCACCTCTGAGCCTGACACTTTTGCTGTGTAATCTAGGCTGGTGTCAAACATGCAGTCCTCCTTTCTGTTTCCTCATCCTGAGAGAATGGGCATTCAGTACCACATTCCCTTTTCTTTTTTAAAAGCATTTATATACTGCGTGCATGTGTGTGTGTGCACGCACGTGTGTGTGTGTGTATAACATGACACACGAATGGGGTTAGAGGACAACCTGCAGGAACTGGCTCTCTCCTTCCATCTTGTAGGCTCTACAGATCCAAACTCAGGTCCCCAGGCTTAGCAGCCAGCACACTTAGCTACTGTCCCATCCTGACAGCCTCTCTCCCGCCCACCTTCTCACATGAAGACACGGGGGTGCTGGAGAGATGGCTCAGAAGTTAAGAACAGCTGTTGTTTTTGCAGAGGACCTGGTTTCAGTTCCCAAAACTCACAGGGAGGCCAACAACTATCTGTAACTCCAGTCCCAGGGGATCCACCAGACTCCTCTGTCCTTGTGGAAACATGGGGTATACATACGTATATTCTGGCAGAGCACATAAAATAACAATTTTTATTTATATTGGTGTTTTGCTGTCATGGATGTCTGCGCACCATGTTTGTGCCGGCAAAGATGAGAAGAGAGTGTCAATCCAATAGAACTGGTGTTTCAGATAGTCATGAGCTGTTGAAATAAGAGCGGCAGGGCTGCGTCCCCAACACCCCGGCCGCTTGGCTAGCTCATGCCCGAAATAACAACACACGAACTGTATTCATTTAAAGACTGCTTGGCCCATGAACTATAGCTCTTACAGGCTAATTCTCGCACCTGGACTAGCCCATTTCTAATAATGCGTGTAAGCACCCCAAGGTGCCCTTACCAGGAAGATTCTAGCCTATGTCCATCTTGGTTCGGAGCTTCATCGCGTGTGCCTCAGAGAGCAGAGCTATCGGGAGAGCTGAGCATGGTGTCTCTGCTCCAGAGAGCAGAGCTGTCAAGTCTCTCCGGGAGCAGAGCAGAGTCTGACCTCACTTCCTCTTCCGCCCAGAATTCTATTCTGTTTACTCCTCCCATCTATGTTCTAAGCTGAGGCCAAGCAGTTGGTTTATTATAATTAACCAATGACCTTCCTCCATCAATGAGCTAGCTGCCTTGTAGGCACGGGAATCAAACTCTGCTCCTCCGGGAGGACAGCCAGTGTTCTTATCAACTGGCCCATCTCTCAGCTACCAGCACGTCCCATTCTTTAACAAACGATTTAGGTTTAGTTCCACTTACATGCATGCATTTGTCTGTGTGGACATATATGCATATGTGTGAAGGTGCCCACAGAGGCCAGAAGAGAATGCAGAAGGCCTGGAGCCGGAGTTACAGGAGCTGTGAGCCACCTTACGTGGGTGCTGGGAATGAAACTCGAGTCCTCTGGAAGAGCAATGCATGGTCTTAGCCATGGAAGCCATCTCTCCAGGCCAACAAACAAACGAACAATAGATAAACATTCTGATATACTCAGAAATTTTTATTCTTCTGATTTAACTCTTTCTTCTTTGTCTTCTCCCCCCACCCTGAGACAGGGTTTCTCTGTATAGCCCTGGCTGTCCTGGAACTCACTCTATAGATCAGGCTGACCTTGAACTCAGAGATCTGCCTGCCTCTGCCTCTAAAGTGTGTGTGTCTCCATCACCCAGCTAGATTTAACTTTTAAAGTAAGGTGTTCACCATCAACACACTGTAAGGATTCAGATGTTCCCATTGTTGGCCTTGAGAAAGGTCTCATATCCCTTTGGCAGTATTTTCAGCCTCTTTCCTGTAAGTTTTCTTTCTTACATTTTAACTCATTACCCTTTGTTTCAAGGTGGATTTCTTGATCTCTTGTAATGAAATCAATGTCTGGACAGAGAACAAGCTCATAACAGAGCTGACTCCAGGCAGCCTTTCCAGGTGGCCAGGGATGAAGGGATAAACACTGCCACGTCTTATCCTTTCCAAGGCTAGCGGCACAGTCTTTTGGAAACACAGTTTGTTTCCAGAGTAACCTATGGATCCACAGGCCCTTGATGGGAGTCAATGTCATTAGTGTGATACTTGTATCTCCTGATTGTAGTGCTCCCTTCCCTGCCCCTCACTTGTACTCTCCCATGAGGCCTTGAGAATTCAAAACTTCTGCTGGTCATTGTGTTGCTTTTCTTTTTGAATCACGTGGTTTCTTGAAATAATCTCAGCTTGGCCCTCCACGGTTTATTTTCCTTCCACTTATCCTCCATCCCAAGGATGAGCTCTCTACCTTTTAATGCATAGGCAGTGTTCTTTCCCCCTGTAGAGCAGCTCAGAGACATTGCTTATGGCACTCGGCAACCGTCATTGTGTCTGGAGTCATTGCCAGCCCGCAGAGGTGAGGATGAAGTGGACATTGCTCTGCTGCATCGAAACGAGAACCTTTTTGAACTGCACATCCACCAGGCCTTCCTGACACCCGGTGCCCTCATGCAGGCTGCAGATACCCAGCCTACCACGTTCTGCACTTATTCCTTCTATGATTTTGAAACCCATTGCACTCCATTCTCTGTTGGGCCACAGCCCCTCTATGATTTCACCTCCCAGTTTGTAGTGCAGATTGATTCCCTTTTCTTGCACTACCTTCAAGAGACTTCAGTCCGGCTTGATCTCCATCAGGCCGTGGCTAGTGAGCATCATATCCTTGCAACTGGATGGATTTCATTTGACAAGGTGCTAGAGACTGTGGAGAAAGTCCATGGCTTGGCCACACTTACTGGTAAGTGCTTTTGGCTTCTTGTAGTTCTTAGGACTAGAGGCTTTGGGAGAGCAAAGAAATTGCCAAAGCCTGGAGCTGCTTTCTAGTATTTTCCCTTTCCCATCCTCTGCCCCCAGGCTGGCCCTGGACTCATGACAATCCTCCTGCTTCAGCCTCTCAAGTGCTGTGATGTCACGCCCTCACCAGCCTGGCTTCTGCTCTACCCTTGACTTTCACTGCACTCTGTCTTCCATGCCTTTTACATTTTCACCATTCAGGAGCTGGTGGAGAAGACTTGGGGGAGTTAGAGTACTGGATGAGGCTGCGCTTGCCGCTAAAATCCAGCCTCCAGGCCTGCAATAAGCAAAAGAAAGCCCAGGCCTACCTGTCAGTCAATACACTTGGAGCTTGGAAGGCCCGGAAGAATGAGGTGAGAAAAAAGATGTACTTATGCATCTTAGGTCATCAGCCAGGCAGCCCTAGAGAGGCTTTGCTTTCCTGTTCCCTGTGAGTGCTCGTGAATGTGGAAGCTGCTGTATCAAAGTCGGTCTTCTCATGGTGAAACTTGAGCAGAAATGAATTCCTGCCCATGGTTAGATACTTTTTTTTGTGGTGAACAAGTCAGCTTTTCCCTATCATTCTCTTTATGGTGTTGTAATTTTTATTACATTCGGTGACTGACACCGAAATGAAGGTGATCTTGGAGGGCTATGCCTTCAGAGACTGGAGCTGGGCAGGTTTTCACAATTCCCCAGTAGCAAAACTCAGATTCAGTCTTAACACCCAGAGCTCCTACTCCACACTGACTTCAAGGTCAGTCCTACTTGTCAGCCTGTTTCTAGGTGTCTGGCCTGGCATTATCCTCCTCCTTCATTTTAGCAAGTTGGTGGCCTTCCTGTCCTGTAAGTCACTCTTCTCTAGAGCTGGGAATTTGGGGACCATTAACTTTCAGATATTCTCTTCATTCTAATCATAGTCTCACCCTAGTGCAGCTTGCAGCACTGTTCCACAGGGAATACCTGCTGAGTTCCTCCTACCTTGGTCATAATTTTTGTCCTCTCTAAGCTTTAGTTCAGATATTCCCACTGCTATAGCTTCATTAACTTTCTATGGGATAAAATCTAATATTCAGTTCAAATGAATGAACAACATAAATTATTTATTGTGTTTGTACATGCCATGGTGTGCATGTAGCCATCACAGGACTACACGTGGGAGTCGTTTCTCTTCTCCTACTGTGTGGGAACTGGGATCAAAGTTTGCTCCAGTCTCTCTATCGTACAGTAGGGTTAACCTTAGGACGAGCTACCCCTCAGCTACCAGAGCCAGCCAGGGCCAGGCAGACCATGGTCATCAGGCTTCCTCACCACCTGGCAGAATAGGTTTCTAGGTCACTGCTCTTGCCTATGGCGGTGGCTCAGGCTGCTCTGAGTCCAAGATCAACATCTTTCCAGTCCAGATCCGAGACTCGGACACTTCGGAACGAACTGCGGATTGAAATCACCAGGTGCTGCGGTCTGCGGAGCCGATGGCTGGGAATTCAGCCCAGCCCGTATGTCATGTATCGCTTCTTCACCTTTCCTGACCATGACACCGCCGTCATCCCAGCCAGCGACAGTCCACACTTTATAGACCAGGCTCTGTTCCCAGTGCATGTGACCTCTGACCTGGACCAGTATCTGAGACGGTAGGCCCTGTCTATATACGTTTTCGATGACGAAGACTCAGAGCCCGGCTCCTATCTTGGCAGGGCTCACGTGCCCTTGCTGTCTCTTGCACAAAACAAACCCATCAGAGGTGGGCGTCGCCCCTCTCAGCGCTCTCTCCCGTGTCCCCCCATCCTCACTCAACTTTCTTTGCTTGCTGGCTTAGAATAGTCGTGGTCGCTCTTCCATTTAAAAAAATAATTATCTTGATTACGTGTGTGTGTGTGTGTGTGTGTGTGTGTGTGTGTGTGTGTATACATGATGTGAGTCTATGCGTGAGCCATTGTACTTGGAGGCCAGGGGACAACTTTGCAGGGTCAGTCAGTTCTTTCTTTCCTTCCTTCCATCTTTACATGAGTTCTGGAGACTGAACTCAGGTTCTCAGACTTGTGTGGCAAGCACCTTTTCCTGCCGAGTCGTGTTGGCCCAGAATAGTCTCTCTTAAGATCCAAGATGATTTTGGGCATTATCAAGAGCAACAGAATGAAAGATTTACAACTGCCTTCCTCTTTAGCTCTGCTTGCTTGGCCTATTAGCTCAGGCTTCTTTTTAAATAACCCTCACATCTTAAATTAATCCACTTCTATTAATCTCTGTATTACTACGAGGCTGTGGCCTATCGGGAAGGTTCTGGTGACTGTCTCCTTCAGCAGCTACATGGCTTCTCCCTGACTTTTTCTACTTTCTCTCTGTATCTCTGTTCAAATTTCCTGCCTGACTTTATTCTGCCCTGCCATAGGCCAAAGCACCTTCTTTATTAACCAATGGTAGTAAAACATATTCAAGCATACAGAAGGAAGGAAATCCTATATCATCTCCCCTTTTCTGTCTAAATAAAAAGGAAGGTTTTAGCTTTAACATGTAAAATTGCATATAACAAAACAGTTATCAAGAAAGAATTATATTGTAGTATTTCTTTGTGAGTCTAAAGTGTTATATCTAATTTATCTTTTATCATAACTAAGGAAAATTATAACTGTCTTCAATTCTTCAAAGACCCCAGAAAGATATAATATTACCTAAGTAAACAGGAAATGCATTGTAAGCAACTTCCAAAATTCTAGAATTGACAGAGACATCTTGCTGCCTGGACAGTCACACAAGGTTCTTCTGTAACGTTGGGGCATCCATCTTCAGCCTACAGGCCTGTAGTATCTGACAGACTTTTCCATGAAGCAGAACATTTGAAAGGTTGTTTCACCTTTAGGCAAGTCCAGCAGTCATTTCTGTGGGTCCTGCATGTCTGCTTCAGACAGCATACCATCAAACAGTCCAGGCAAGAGCAGCTTCTTGCCCAAATGGCTAATCTTGCCACAATGGCAAAGGAGTTTTTTCAATGCCCATCATCTCAAAAGTAAATTGCTGCTGCCAGGAGCAGATATAGCTCATTGTCAAGAAAAGTCTAAGTCCTTAAAACATTTTAAATGCCATATTCTGTAGGTTTTTGAAGTGCTGAAGATTATGTATCTGAAATATCTCTCTGTATATCTAGAAAACCTAACTAACATAACTGACTACAGGTTTGACTATTATAAATGACTACCTATTAATCTGCAATTTTTAATTATACATTATATTTTAAAATGAGCTGTATAAACATAATACTTTAAACAAGAGTAAAAAAATATATATGACAAAATTGACCTTAAACTTGTATCAATAAACCCAAATCCATACCAATGCAAAATATTTATTTCTATATCATATCCCCCTTTAAATGAAAACAAACATTTATAAACAATCATTTTGGGAATTTGGGTGTAGTGTTCTCCAAACTGTTTCCTGCTGTTTGTTGAGTGAAATTGTTTTTAGGGTTAATGGAGACCTTTTTTTTTGGGGGGGGGGTCTTGTTCCATCAAACCACATTAGCCTGGAAGAAATCCATAGGTTCTCATCTTCTGTGGAAACAAAAGCAGAGCCTCTTTTCCAAAGCAACACATTCTTAGACTCAAATTTTGAAGTCAAAATTATGTTGGTTTAACTTAGCAGCCCCAGAATCAAATGTCTCTCTGCAGTCAAAAAATTCAAAGAAAACATAATAATAAAGATCATCCAGACAAACACAATAATATACATCATCCAGACTCTGTATGTATTCCATCTTTTTTGGTTTATTTGGTTTTTGTTTTTTTGACACATGGTTTCTCTGTAGCCTTGGAGCCTGCCTGTCCGGGAACTAGCTCTTGTAGACCAGGCTGGCCTTGAACTCACAGAGATCTGCCTGCCTCTGCCTCCCAAGTGCTGGGATTAAAGGCATGCTCTACCACCGCCTGGCTACTGTCTCTTTATATTTTAAAACTATTTCTTTTTATAACTGCTTATACCAATTCCAATTTTTTTTCTTAAGCCAAGTACATTTTTAGACACACTATGACCCTTCAGAGGTGTATTTTTGTCTGAATCTGTCTTTCTTACACATCTGTAATCCTTTTTCAATCACCGTTGTAAACTGTTGCAGGCAGAGTGGCTGCTTTGCCTATTGGTTCCACCCTGCTTGGCTTTCCAACATGGCGGAGGTCCATTTCCTGCCAGCTCTGGAAGCCATGTTTACCACCCCAACTCTCGGAAACCACCAAGTAACTTGCAGCACACTGCCCAGTCAAGTGTTCAACCTCCCCAAAGAGACAAAGCTGTTAGTGCTGCCACCATAAACCAGGAAGCTGTCTCTCAAAGAAGCCACACCCCTTTTGCTGCTCCTGCTGAGTCAGAAAGCCTCTCTTAAAGGAGCCACGCCTCTGCTTGATGCCAGCAAACAGAGCCCACCAGAGACAATGCTGTTACCAAGAAGCTGTGCTTGATCCCCATTTTTGTTGGTCTAGAAGCCCTCTTTTTTTTCTTTTCTTAAGCTTTCTTTAAGGTCTTATATGAATTCATGTCCCAGAAAGGCTAGGCAGTTCTTTGCCCAAAGACCAGTTTTGCCAAGAAGAAAACAAGCTCCAAGTGGAGTGTCTTGAGTGCTCAACAATATAGCAAGACCTTGTCTCACAAAAGCCAAACCAAACACAACAACAACAAACTCTCCCGTGCTGCTCAGCACTCACACCGCTTTCAGAGCATCAGACATGGCCATGACAGACAACAGGCAACTTCAGGAGTCTTGAGCTGAGCTCTTTTCTGCCTTCCTTTCTTGCTTACTTGGGGTTGTGGGTCTGGTTTCTGTCTGGAGAGGGTTGAAGCAGTGATTTCCAGATTTTCACTAATTAGTCAGTATAGTCTGAGTGCCCTTGGGAGTACGCAAGGCCTCTCTCTGGCTGGCATCATAGTTCTTTAAAAGACACTTCTGCCTAAGAGGAGAGGCAAGCCACCTACCAAGCAGGGCTTCGGAACAGGCAGAAACCTGCCACTCAGGAAAAAGCCACTTTGCTTGCATTCTTGGTACCACTTGCATAGGTGGCAGTTTTCTGGGGGTGGCCACAGTACTTACTAGTGACAGTGAAGGTGATTCTGTCACAGTCACCAGCTGAACGACAGGTGACAGGCAAGCTGCTTTCCTGCCCAAGCATCTTTTGATCATTTCTTCTGAAACTGGGAAATGCCTGTCTTCCCTATGACACTCTCACTACATGTCATATTATGTTAACTTCGTTTATGTTACAAGTTTGAATGTATGTTCATTCATTACTAACAATCGCAATGAATTTTTAAATAGGAAGAAGTAGGTATGATGCTCATAAACACTAGTCTTTCTCATAAGACCAGGTGTGACCAGTTTCTCTGTGTCTCTAAGGTGAGTTCAATCTCACGGATCCTTCAGAGAAGTCCAGCGGATCCATCCAAGTGCAGCTAGACTGGATGTCTCAGTACCTGCCCCCAGAGGTCCAGAAACCAGAAGCTGAGATGGAGAATAAGGACAACAAAGATGACTTGAAGGCCTCCATCACAGAAGACCTGGTCCCTTCTCTTCCCCAGGTAACTAACTCTCTAGAACTCCCTGGACAGTGGATCTCTCTACGCACACAATATAGTCAATTGGAGAGAAGAGGCTTAGGGCTGGAGTAAAGGAAATTCCTTTCACAAGCTCTGTGTGTAATCAGATGTAATCTAGAAGCTCCTGATGGACAGGACCTGAGGAGCAAGAGCAGGAGAGAAAGACAGACTTGGAGCTGCCATCGTTTAAGGCTCTGTCTCTGATTTGTCTGTTCAGAACCAGACGACATTTATAGAGACTCCTATCGAGGCTGGCCAACATCAAGCAAAGAGAAAATCTCCCACAGCAGAAAGGAAGGCTAAAGAACACCAGATTGCATGCTACTCAAGAAGAAAGCACAGCAAAAGAACGGGCGTCCAAGGCAAGAACCGAATGGAATATCTGAGCCGTAACGTCCTGGACGGGAATACACTGCAGGTAAGACCTCAGAGAGGCCAGAGAGCCATCAGAGGGGAGGAGGGGTGAAGGCAGATCACTGCGATTTAACCCAGCACGATAATGCCATGCACACTGTAACTGAGGCTTAGAATCCTAATCCAATGTATGTGAGGCATTTCTTTAAAATGGACGGAATTTTTAAAGTCGGAAAAGGCTAGTATTAAGAAAGAAGTGTAATCTGGGTGGTGGTGGTGCACACCTTTAATCCCAGCACTTGAGAGGCAGAGGCAGGCAGATCTCTGAGTTCGAGGCCAGCCTGGCCTACAATGTTCCAGGACAGCCAGGTGTGTTACACAGAGAAACCCTGTCTCAAAAAAACCAAACACCGAACCAAACCAAAGCGACAGCAACAAAACAACAAAAACGAAGGAAATATCAAGTCTTATGCCACTCATATAGTATTGCTGTCCTTGTTCTCAAGCAGCTACACTTCACCGAACAGAAGTTCTCAGGGCTCAAGAAGTCTGAGGATGATGGCTTTAAAATTCAGGACAAGGAAGAGAAAATGCCGCCGTCTCATTCAGCTCCAAGACAGGAGACTCCCTCACCTCCTGTAAATGGTATTATCTTTCACTGAATTATTTTCTTTTTATAGTATTTATTTTTATTACTTTCTATTATGTGTCATATGTGCCTGCTGGTGGCTATGGAGTCCAGGTGCCTATGGAAGCCAGAAATGTGGAGTCTGGGTGCTGGGACCCGAGCTCAGGTCCTCCAGAAGACTGAGTGTTGTTAACCACAGGGCCAACCCTCCAGCTCCTGAATTGTTTTCTAAAGCCAATATCTTTGTTACTTTCCTGTTGCTGTGATAAGACACCGTGACCTGGGCAACTTTTAAATTTTTTTTTTTTTTTTTTTTTTGAAGCAGGGTTTCTCTGTGTAGCCCTGGCTGTCCTGGAATTCACTTTGTAGACCAGGCTGGCCTTGAACTCACAGAACTCTTCTCTTTCTTACATTAAAAGTGTGAGAAATTAGTCCAACGCAGGCTTGAATTCTCAAAGGAAGCTACTTTTCTATACGCGTAAGCAAGCTGGCGTAGTTTCCTAGTGTTTGTAATATGCTAAGTTTCCCTAGTGCTTGGTAACTAATATCTACAAAGAAATAAGAGGGGTTTAGAGGTTCATTTGTGGGCGTGAGATTCCTCTAACATAGAGTGCAGCTGGGCTGGAGAGACGTCTCATGGTTGAGAACCCTGGCTGCTCCTCCGGAGGCCTTGGTTTGATTCTCACTGCTCACAGCCATGTGGAATCTCAGTTCCAGAGGCTTGAACACTGCTTTCTGGCCTCTGTGCACACCAGGCATTCACGTGGTATGCAGACATATAGATAAGGTTTGGGACTTAAACCTGGGTCCTCCGCAAGAGCAACATATGGTCTTAAGTGCTGAGCCCCCTCTCTGGCTCCTTAATATTTAAAAAAAACAGATTATACACCATGACCAAGTAAGAATAGTTCCATAAGCACCAGATTAGTTTCAAAATAGGAAATTTTTCAGGTTTGGTGGCCTAAGCCTTTAATCCCAGCACTCCAGAGGCAGAGGTTGGTGGACCATTATGAATACGAGACCAACTTGAGCTACATAGAGTATACCAGGCCAGCCAGGAATACACAGCGAGACCCTGTCTCAGAAAAATTCAACATAGGCAATTGACTTAATATGCCATAGCATTAAAGTCTAATTTGAGCTTTGAGACCATTTCATTACTTTGAGGAAAAGCAATTTTACAAAATACACCTTCCGTTCTTGATAAAAATTCTCAGAAACCTAGGAATAGAAGGAAATTGCTTTGAATGACTAAAGTATAATAAATAAAACCCAGGCCGGGAGGTGGTGGCGCACGCCTTTAATCCCAGCTCTCGGGAGGCAGAGGCAGGCGGATCTCTGTGAGTTCGAGACCAGCCTGGTCTACAAGAGCTAGTTCCAGGACAGGCTCCAAAACCACAGAGAAACCCAGTCTCGAAAAACCAAAATAAATAAATAAATAAAATAAAAAAAATTAAAAAAAAAAACCCATAGCGAGCACCCTCCTCTGAGCTAGCCCTGAAGATGAAAACAGGGTGTCCATTTCTATGGCTCTGTCTGTTCTGGCTGTCCTGGAACATACTACGTACATCTACAGACAAGGCTAGTTGGTGTTCAACTAAGAAATCTGTTTGTCTCTGCCCCCGTATACAGATATTAAACCCACATACAACCATGCCTGGCATAATGCAGATTCTAGGGGCTGGAGAGATGGCTCAGAGGTTAAGAGCACTGCCTGCTCTTCCAAAGGTCCCGAGTTCAATTCCCAGCAACCACATGGTGGCTCACAACCATCTGTAATGAGATCTGGTGTTTTCTTTTGGCTGGCAGGCATACATGCAGACAGAATATTGTATCCATAATAAAAAAATAAATATAAAAAACAATGCAGATTCTAACCAGTGAAACAAGGGGAGGAAAAACCGTAAAAGTTACACAGCCTGGAAAGCAAATAGGCTTCTCTTTATTTGCAGTTGAAAAATCATGTTTGTAAGAAATCATTAAAAAAATCTACAAAAGGGGTCGCTGGAGAGATAGCCTAGTTCAGCAAATGACTGATTGACCAAACATCAACCATATTTTCACACATTAACAATGAACTATCCAAAGAGGACATCCAGGAGACAGTTTTTTTCATACTATCATAAGAAAGAATTAAATATTTGGTGATAGACTTGACAGGTGCAGCGAAAACTACAGATTCTCAGGAAGGCCATCGGGTGACCTAGGTAAAGTCATTAACCTGAGGCCCTTAGTTTGACCCTAAGAATCCAGATAAAGTCCAGAGCTTCATCTCTGTAATTCTAGCACTCCTAAACAGCAAGATGGAAGACAAAGACAGAATTACTTGGAGTCTCTTGTGTGAGACCCTGTCTCAAAAACAAGATGGAAGTAGAGAACCCACTCCCAATAAATAAATCAATCTTTTCTAAAAAGTAATTGGGTTAATTAAAAGGGGATTTCCAGTTCAGGGAATGGTACCATCCACACTTGACATAAGGTTTCCCCTAGCCTGGGCATGATGGTGCACACTGTTAACATCCATACTAAGGAGGCAAAGACCAATGCTTTCTATAAGTTCTAGTTCATCTTGGTCTACATGATCAGGTCAGCCAAGGTTACAGACCAAAAGGAAAACACTAGGGGAGTTACGTCAGTCAGGATAATCCCCCATAGTCAAGACCAAATGTCCATCTCTCAGGTGATTCAAGGTCCTGTCTGTTGACGTTTAACATTAAATATCATGTGTAATTTTTGTAAAAGAGCAAGCCCCTCGTGGCCCACACTGGCCTTGAACTTACTATGTAGCTGAGGATAACCCCAAACTCCTGATTTTCCTGCTTTCCCAGGGGCTGGGATTACAGTCATGAGCCACTGTGTCTGTGTTTGTATGTTTGTCTGTGTACCACATGATACATGGTACCCACAGTCATCAGAAGAGGGTGTTAGATTCCCCTAGAGTTGGAGTTACAGATGATTGTCAGCTGCTCTGCCAGTGCTGGGGATTGAACTCAGGTTTTCTGGAAGAGGAGCCAGTGCCTGTAACTAAACCATCTCTCGACTCCATACTTTTTTTTTTCTTATAAGGAAAAACATTTAGTTGGGGGGCTGGCTTACAGTTTCAGAGGTTAGCTCATCTAGTATCATCATGGTGGGTGGTGTGCAAGCAGACATGGTGCTGTGAAAGGAACTGAGACTTCTGCATCTTGAGCTCCAGGCAACAAGAAGTGAACAGTGTTCTACACTGACTGTGGCTTGAGCAAGAGATACCTCAAAGCCTGACCCCACAGTGACACACTTCCTTCAACAAAGAAGACTACATCTATTCCAACAGAGCTACACTTCCACTCTCTGGTCCCCCCCCCCAAAGTTAATAGCCATATCATAATGCAAAAATGCATTCAGTCCAACTTCAAAAGTCCCCATAGTTTATCACAGTCTCAAACTTATTTAAAAGTCTAAAGTTCAAAGTCTCTTCTGAGAATCATGCAATCTCTTAATTGCAAATCAAAAAGCAGATCACATACTTCCAACGAACATGACACAGGACATACATCACCATTTCAAAACGCAGGGAAGGGAGTATAGTGAGGAAATACTGGACCAAAGCAAGACCAAAAACCAGCTGGGCAAACTCCCACCTCTGCATCTCCATCCATGTCTGATATCGAAGCAATCTTCAGAGCTCCAAATCCTTTCAACTTTGCTGACTGAAACACACTTCTCTCTCTTGGGCTGTTTGCAGCTCCCCTCAGCAGGTTCCCCATTGCTCTGGCATCTCCAGCATCTTGGGGTCTCAAAGACAGTCTAGACTTCAGCTTCACAACTTCACAGAATAGCCCCTCTGAGCCTCGATGCCAGGAAACTCTTGCCACATCCCTGGCCTCGGTGGCTTTCCTTAGTCACAGAGGGAGATTCCATAACCCCTTCTATTCTGAGTCTAAAACCAGAACCATGCGGTCTAATCTGCTTGCTGGTGCGGGAACCTGGTTCCCTCTCCACCCCATCCTTTCCCTTTTCCTCCCTCCTCCCTCTCCCACTCTCCTCCATTCTCCTCTTTTCTCCTTTTCTCTGTTCATCCTTCTCTCTCTCCTCCCCCCTGCAATGCACCCTGTGACAACAGACTTCTGAATCTTTGAAGTGCAGAGTTTGATGCTGAAGTTAACACAGGGGAGCTGGTGTGGGCACTGACACTTTGTGTGGAGTGGAGGAAGTGTTTTGAATGTGTTCTGCAATTCAGCCTCTCCTCTAGCAGATCAAGAATCCTCGGGACAAGCTTCTGAAGTGAGTGAAGCCCAGACTCTCGACAGTGATGACATCATAGTGACCCCCCAGTCTCAGTCGTGTCCCAAAGCCGTAAGTACCTGGGGTGACCATTACCTGTTAGAGGACAGTCACGAGTAACGGAGCGCTGAGTGGCTGCACGTGGTGACGTCTACTGCAGTGATGCAGGCTTCCCTGATTTTGGTGCAAATGCCAGCCGAGTGCAATGCTTCTCTTTCCTGTCTGGAACTTGTTCACACCCAGCTCAGGCTGAGGTCATTTTTCAGGTGACCAGACTTCATGGAGGAGACGGAGACTGTAAGAAAGGAAGGGCTTCTTCTTGGAGGGTTCAGAAAAATGTTTCAGTTTCTGCAGTTTTTGACTCCTCCTTCTTCTCCCTCACCTCCTCCTCAGGGATCAGGATGTATTAGTCAGCTGCTTCTCCAGCACCCACCTATGTGCTGCACTCTCTCTGCCATAATTCTAATGGACTAAGGCTTGGAAACTGTAAGCAAGCCTCTTCTTGTAAGAGTTGCCTTGGTGGGCTGGAGAGATGGCTCAGTGGTTAAGAGCACCACCTACTTGCCTAAATGGTCCTGAGTTCAATTCCCAGCAACCACATGGTGGCTTACAACCATCTGTAATGAGATCTAGTGCCCCCTTCTGACCTGCAGACATGCATGGAGGCAGAATACGGTATACACAATAAATAAATATTAAAAAAAAAGAGTTGCCTTGGTGGGGTTGGCGAGATGGCTCAGTGGTTAACAGCACTGGCCACTCTTCCAGAGGAACTGGGTTCAATTCCCAATACCCACATGGTAGCTCACAACTGTCTGCAACTCCTGTTCCAGGGGATTTGACACTCTTACACAGATATACATGTGGGCAAAACACCAAAGCACATAAGATACATATAAATAAATTATGTATATATAAGAGTTGACTTGGACACAGTGTCTCTTCACAATGGTCTCACTATCTAGCCAAGGCTGGCCTGGGAACTCACAGAGATCCTCCTGCTCTGCCTCCCAAGTGCTGGGACTATGTTATGTACCACCATGTGCCGTGTGCCACACACATAGTGGATGCTGATCCTCTCACATCACTGTCAGCTGCTCGTTCTTCCTACAGGTCATGAGGGGACGCTCATCTTAGCAGTGGGCTCTGGGCACGCACAGTGATTCATGTGTCAGACTCAGTCCTCTTGTTTTGTTTGAGACAGGAGCTCACGCTGAAGCCCAGGCTTGCTTCAGACTTTTTTGTAGCAACCTGGCCTAACCTAACCCTCCTGAGCTCTGGGATTTCAGGCATGAGCTACCCACACTTGCGTTGGTCCCTGTACTGGTTAAGTTTTGTCAACTTGATACGAAATAGAATCACCTGCAATGAGGGAGCCTCAACGGAATAATTTCCTCCACCAGAGTGGCCTGTGTGGGGGCCATTTTCTTGATCTCTCTCCTTAACTTGGGGTTGGCAGGTTTGAGCAAAGACAGGGAGACTGGGGGGTTCATAGTGCTGAGCTAAGCATGTCATGATCCAGCCTTGAACTCGCCTTGTGGTCTATGGGCACAGATGTCCTACTGGTGGGAGAAGCTCATGAACATTGTGGTGAGGAGCATGGCCAACAGGCTGGCACGCAGTGCTGGAGAAGCAACCGAGGTCACACACCTGATCCACAGTTGCAGAGAGAGAGAGAGAGAGAGAGAGAGAGAGAGAGAGAGAGAGAGAACAAGATTGGTTCTGGTGTGGATTTTTGAAATCTCGAAACCCACCTCCAGTGACACACCTCTTCATACTTGCTAAACATTCCCAAAACGAGGTCAAGCATATGATTTCATGGAGCCATTTTCATTCAAACCACCACACTCTCTCCATGGCCTCCATAGGCTTGTAGCCATATCCTAATGCAAAGATGCATTTAGTACAGCTTCAAAAATCCTGATACATGCTGGGCGGTGGTGGTGCACACCTTTAATTCCAGCACTCAGGAGGCAGAGACAGGCAGGTCTTTGTGAGTTGGAGACCAGCCTGATCTGCGGAGCAAGTTCCTTCCAGGACAGGCTCTAAAGATAAACCCTGTTTCAAACAACAACAACAAACCTCAAAAAACCAAAACAAAACAAAAGTCCACGGCTTTCCAAGCTAGATGGGAAAGGGGAAGGAGGAGGGCCATAGAAAAGCAGTGGTAGACATGCAAAGAGAAAGGAAGGGACAGGAGGTGTACCTTAGTTGATGGACTCCTTATGCAGATGCAGGAAGTCCTGGTGGTACTTCATGCCTATGATCCTAGGACTTGAAAGACAGAGGCAGAAGGATCAGAAGTTCAAGGTTATCCTACTCCTATACTTCCTACATAAGCAGTTCAAGGCCAGCCTGGGCTAAAAGGAGCTGCTGACTTTTGTGCTAAAGGTAAGAAGGTCAAATAAGTGATTTGAGAGTACAAGACTGGATAGATATGTAAATATTAAATAAAAAATTAAGTTGCATTTATTCATGGTGTGCACATGAGTGTGTGCCACTATGTGTATGTGGAAGTTAGAGTACAACCTGCAGGAGTTGGGGGGTCCTTCTCTACCATGTGTGTCCCAGGGATTGAACTCAGGTTGCCAGGCTTGGCAGCTAGTACCTTCCTCTTTTTTTTTAGATTTATTTATTATGCATACAATGTTTTGCTAACATATATACACCAGAAGAGGCACCAGATCTCATTACAGATGACTGTGAGCCACCATGTGGTTGCTGGGAATTGAACTCAGGACCTCTGGAAGAGCAGCTAGTGCTCTTAACCTCTGAGCCATCTCTCCAGCCCCCTTCCTCTTTTTTTGTTGTTGTTAAGAACACAGGTTTATGAAATACAAGAAGTGCCAGCCTGCACAGTAAGGAGAATATTGCCTTCAATAATTAATGTCTAACCCTTATTGCAGCAGCAGCAGCAGCCTGAGGAGCTATGTCACAGACCTTATGTAGGCAAAATCAGTATCAGTGGCTTCAGCACAGAAAAGAATATGAAGCCGATGACGTTTACTGAAGTAGGAGAGAAAGGCACTGAAGGAAAGAATAAGGTGCAGGCTTCTCAGAAGAGTCCCGACCAGGGGCCTTGTTGGTGTTGTTGTTTTGTTTTTCCAAGACGGGGTTTCTCTGTGTTGCCCTGACTGTCCTGCAGTTTGCTTTGTTGACCAAGCTGGCCTTGAACTCACTGAGATCTACCCACCTCTGCCTCCCAAGTGCTGGGACTAAAGGTGTGCACCACTACCGTCCAGCTCTGAATTCATTGAATAACAAATTCATTAAGTTGTTTCAGTAGAAGCAACTTACCAGATAACCTTGCTTTCCTTGATACCCTGTGGGGAGAGCATAAGTTCTTTTATTGTTGATCAATAAGTTGATTATTGATACTAACTCTCAAACCATACATTATGTATTACTTTAAAAACTGTAAAGGGGTGAGGCTAGAGAGATGGCTCTGCAGTTAAGAGCACTGGTTGCTCTTCCAGAGGTCCTGAGTTCAATTCCCAGCAACCACATGGTGACTTCCAACCAACCATAATGAGATCTGGTGCCTTTTGCTGGCTTGCAGGCAGAAATAAATAAACAAATCTTAAAAAAGACTCTTAAGGGTTAAGAGACCACAACAAAATTTAAGAAGTATCAGAGCGGAGAAACTGGTGGCTGGGTCCTCCGCACAAGTGCTGTGGCTGCACTGTTGAGCTGAGCTGCAGGAGAGGCAGAGGTCAGGCAGAGATGGTGAACCTGACTGGCTGGCAGCAATTTAAGCAGATTGATCGCCTCCTCACATAGCAGGACCTGAGCTAAGTGAAAGCCCTGGGGTCTGCTGGGAATTCTTTGCCTGTCAGTCCCCTGACATACACATCAGATTGTTAGATGTCAGAGGACGGGCAGGGCTCAGGCTGGCGTTTCTGATAAATCCTCAGGCCTGGTTTCCCGATATGCTCCTAGAGAGTCAGTTTGCCCGGGAATAACTCAGTCTGTGCCACGTGCATTGTTAGTACTGGACAGATGGTGCCAGTCACGTGTCCATGCAGGGCAGGAGCTCAAAGCCACTGTTTTACACAACAGTGAGAAACCCAGCGTGGGACACAGGCTGATCTTGGTAACTGTCCTTCTCTAATGCATTTTATTTTTATTGCTTTGTCCTTTTTTTAAGATTTATTTTTATTACATGTGTGAAGGTGTTTTGTGTGCACGTATGTCTGTGTACCACATGTACGTCTGGTGCCACTGGAGGCTTGAAGTGGGAGTCAGATCCCCTGGAGCCTAGAGTCAGATGGCTATGGGACATGTGGCGGCTGGGAATTGAAACAGTCCTCCGGACCTCCGAGCCTCCTCGCCACCCCTCAAATCTATCTTCTCTTATTCTTCCATTTTGAAGAGTGGTAGTGAGAAACAGAGAAAGAGAAGTCAGTGGTTTCCTTGTGTGGGTTCCTGAGAAGAAAACAAGCGATTTGAAGAAGAGTCCATTTGACTGCGATGCAGACTCAGAAGCTCCTCTTGTTTCTGGAAAGAATAGGCAGGGTAGAGGCTGGTGCTTGGGCACCACGGCTTGATGCTAACTGGCTGCCACTCTGCACGAGGGGCTCGTGCTCACTTGCATACCTTTGGAAACTAGACGAACGTCAATCTTCTGACAGCTCTGTGAAAAGAGGCTGGTGTGGCAGTGACTTTGAAAGGGAGCTGAAGCAGACCAGATGCTGTGTGGGGCCCGGTGGCCTCCTCTTTGGCGCATGTCTAATTGGGCTCTTTGCGATAGTGACTGAGGCTGCTGTAACTCACAGGAAAATGCTGATGTGGGTGGCACTGAGAAAGTGATACTCCGTCCTTTCAGAGATCTTCACTTTTCTTTATCCTTGGTGTGTGTGTCTCATTTATTTTTTCAGACAGGGTTTCTCTTTGTAGCCCTGGCTGTCCTGGAACTTGCTCTGTCGATCAGGCTGGCCTCAATCTAGAGATCCATCTGTCTCTCCCTCTCGAGTGCTGGGATTAAAGCTGTGCGCCACCATGTCCAGCCTAGCGTGTCTGTCCAAGATAGGATCTTATTACATAGCCCCAGATGGTCTTGAACTCGGGATCTCCCTGCCTCGGCTTCCCCAGTAAACGACCACTCCCAGCTTTTTCATTCCGTGTCTGTGGACGTAGCCAGGAGATAGACTCAGCAGGAGATAGACTCTGTGGCAGTTTCATCTAGTTGTCTGCTGGTAGCCATTTTGCCTGTGAATTGTCAGTAAATGGCTTCTTGTAGTGTGCTATGATGAGTTTCTAGAGCTTTGTGTTAACCTTTAGGAAATCAATATTTCCATTTCAGGATTCAGAGAAGATGTGCATTGAGATTGTCTCCCTGGCCTTCTGCCCAGAGGCTGAAGTCATGACTGATGAGAACATACAGCAGGTGTACGTGGAGTACAAGTTCTATGATCTGCCGCTCTCAGAGACAGAGACTCCGGTGTCCCTGAGGAAACCTAGGGCAGGAGAGGAAGTCCACTTCCACTTTAACAAGGGTGAGTGGGCACAGGAGGCAACCAGACATTTGTTGGGATGCAGGTGAATCCAACCATTTCCCTAGTCAACAAATTTACCACTTAGAAATCAAGCCTGGGGAACATCTTAGTTCAGCAGTCATTCGTTCCAGCTTCTCTGCAGATCACTCTTCTGCCTCTACCCCATGACTGAACTCTCTGCAACGGCGCTTCAATTTTTTTT